GAAATGCAGAATTCTGTCTGGGGAGGGAATTGGCTCAATGGTGTCATCAGGACAGCTCCTGGGCCTGGGAGTGGGAGACCAGCGGAGCTGTGGAAGGGTCTGGAGCACAGAGCTGGTGAGGAGCAGCTGAGGGAGCTGGAAAGGGGTTCAGCCTGGAGAAAAGGGGCTCAGGGGGCCCTTGTGGCTCTGCACAAGTCCCTGGCAGGAGGGGACAGCCGGGGGGGTCGGGCTCTGCTGCCAGGGAACAGGGACAGGAGGAGAAGGAACGGCCTCAGGCTGGGCCAGGGGAAGTTGGGGCTCGATATTAGGAAATACTCCTTCCCTGAAAGGGCTGACCAGCCCTGGCACAGGCTGCAGTGGTGGAGTCACCATCTCTGGGGGGATGTAACAGATGTGTGGATGTGGCACTTGGGGACATGGGTTAGTGGTGACCTTGGCAGTGCTGGGGGAATGGTTGGATTTGATTTTAGGGATGATTCCATGATTGTGTGTGGTCACAGACCTGGTTCTCACTTCTCACCCCAAAGGAGGCATGTTCCACGGGAAGGCAGGCAGTAGGCAGAGCCCTGTGAGGGCTGGGGCACCCTCTGCCCATCCCTGAGTCCAGGGATGTTGCTGGCACCGTGGAGTGGCTGTACTGGCCTGGGCTGTCATGCTGTGTCCATCCCGTGCTGCTGGCACACGGCTGGTGTCCTGTGGCCTCCCCAGCAGCACAGGTGGCACCAGGGCCCTTCTGCACGGAGCTGCTGCTGAAGCTGGAGCAGGTGGGATGTGCCAGGAGGGGGAATGGTGTGCCTGGAATGCTCTGGGAGCCAGGACAAGATGCTTGGGAAGCTCCAGGAGCAGGGATGATGTGCCTGGGAAGCTCCAGGAGCAGGGATGGGACTCCCAGACCCCTGCCCTGGTGGGCAGAAGGAGAGGGGTGGCTGTGTGGGCAGCTCCCTGCTGCAGATCAGGCTGCTCCGGGGATCCAGGTCTCAGCACTGACTGCAGCTTCCCTAGTTTATCTTCTTTCTTTTTAATAACAGGTTCATTCCCTGTTCCTGGCAGAGAGCATGCCTTCCTCCACGCTGGGAGAGGGGGAGGGGGGGGCGGTGTTGTAAATTTCCCATTTTTCTGATAAAACTGTATTGCTACGGCGGAAATCAAATCCCATCTTGGATATTTTTAGCATGAGAGCGTGAAGGCACAGAGATGCCGAGGGAAGGGAGGATGGGAGGGGAAGGAGGAGGGCGGGCTGGGTCTCCATGGAAACTGTTTGCTTTAAATTCCCGCACTGGGGCACCGAGTGTGTAGGAGGTGATGAAGGAAATGAAAAGCGAAAAACAGGCAAGGTTTTTTTTTTCCTTTCTGTTGTCACAAAACTGCTGAAGGAACCTTCAGAGAAATGGGCATAAATTATTGATCATCTCAACACAAATGATGTGTGTTTTCATCGGTAACCACCCTGCCGTGTCTCTTGAGGGCAGCAGGTGGGGTGAACAGCAGCCACGAGTGACCTCTGGTTTGTTCAGAGACACCTTTGGGAAGCAGCTGGTGCCCCTCTGTGCTCCTGAGCTGTCACCTGCGTGGGACCCCCATTTGCCCTCTGGATGTTCTTCTGTGCCAGGCTGCTGCTGCTGCTGCCCTGGACACACCAGGGAGAAGAGCCAGTGCCCAGCCCATGGGTGCTGGAGGAATGATGCTTCTGTCAGCTGTGGTGGATTTGGGCTTGGGTCGGATACTTGTACTCAGGAGAGGGATTTTTTAATATTTAGGGTATTTTTTTTTTAACATATGAAAGGTGTTGTTAGCCAGGCTCTCTTGGTACCCGTGTCTGAAGTCCTGACGATGGGCATGAGTAAGCAGCAGGTCTGGGGCAATCTGTGGGGCTGGAACCCCCTTCTCTGGCTGCAGTGGAAGTGGGAGCTGGGCTGGGGTGGCATGAGGGTGTCTGTGGTGCCTGGCCCTGCTGTCTCAGACCACAGCTCTGCTCACAGGCTGGTGCATGAGATCATGTCTGAAAAATCCCTCGCTGCGGCACACAAAGCTATTTTTAATTCATTGAAAAGAGAATGACCTAAAACCGGCAGCTGGTAATGGAGAGGATTAAATAGAGCAAAACAGGTACATTTTCAACTGAGTAATTCTAGAAGGAAGTGGCACGTCTCGTTACGAGTTAGCACTGCCCAGCCAGAGCCACTGAGTGCCCTGGCTGCTGCTGGAGCAGTTCCCAGCCCGTTCCCAGCGTCATCCAGCGGCTCAGTGACACCAGGCTCAGCCCATGACTTCACTCACAGCGATGCTCCCCAGGGCAGGGTCACCTGCTGCAGGCATGAAAACCTCTGTGTGAGCCAGGGTTGAGCTGGAGCTGCTGAGCCAGACTTAGTGCCAAACACGGAATTTCAGTGCTTGAAGGTGTCTGACTTTGCTCTGGCTCCTGGCAGCAGTGGCTGCAGTTACCTGGGGGAACAGGAGACTGCTTTGGGATAGCTCGCCAGGGATGTGTTTGTTCTCACCTGTGTTGGACCCAATGGCCATTCCATGGACTTGCAGTTGGGTTCTGGCTCTGCAGGACTGTCACAAGCTGTAGTGAGGTGGACAGGTTCCAGCAGCACAGATGGAATTTGCCCTGTCCCAGTGTCCCTCCTCAGCCTCTAACAGGTGTTAAAAAAATGCCTGTCCTGCCCTTTGGGAGGAATTTGCTGAATGTGGCGCTTGTGCAACCTTGCTGGATGGGAATGATATTTAACCAACAGTTCAGAGCCAAACAAGACAGACGAGCAGGTGATCTGAAGAAGTTCAGTATTCATTCCTTAACTCCAACTCCAAAATACTGAGATCTCTGCCAGGTGCTGCCCATGCCTGGCTGCAGTCCACCCCACTTGTTGTGAGCCAGGGTGGAGCTCAGCCCCTCTGCAGCACTCCTCAGCCTTCCTGAGTGCTGGGAGATGGTTAAACCCTTCCTGGCACAGTGTCCTGGCTATGATGGCCACAAGACACGTGGGTTCCATGTGAAGGAATAAAGTGTTTTGCCTTGGAGCTCTCTAGCTCAGTGCCAGCAAGTCTAGCCCTGTTTGCCTGTGTGCACTGGTGAGCGCTGGTGTGTTTTGGGTGGCCCACACTGCCAGCATGGGTTGTCTGTTCTGACTCTCCAGGCTGCCTGGAGTCTCTTGTTCAGCTGGGATGCTGTCTGGGGCACAGAGGTGTTGTTTGGGGGAGCCCATGGCTGTGTCAGGGGGCTCTGAGGTGCCTTTTTTGGGTGATGCCACAGCATGGGGTGTGTGTTTGGTGGATGCTGTCTGGGTTGGTGTCCTGGAAGACAGAGCCTCAGTGGTGTTCTGAGCTGCTCCAGAAGCTTGGGCCAGTTGCTGCATTTTGTCTTTTCTCATTTGCTGAAGTAGCTTTCTAGTCTTTATCTGGGATAAAACTCATGGGGAGGGAGAGGGGACGGCTCAGGTTATCTGTCTCTGAGGCTTTCTTCTGCTGGCACACACCAGAGCCAGAGCACAGGAGGAACCAGGAGGAACCACAGCCGTGCTCAGAGGGCTCCCAGTGGGGGTGGCCACATCCCGGGCAGTGCCACGGCCTGTGGGCACAGCCAGTGTTTGCAGCCGTGGCCAGCACCGGGGCTGGCCCTGCCCTGAGCCCTGAGCCCTGAGCCCTGAGCCCTGAGCCCTGAGCCCTGAGCCCTGAGCCCTGAGCCCTGAGCCCTGAGCCCTGAGCCCTGAGCCCTGAGCCCTGAGCCCTGAGCCCTGAGCCCTGAGCCCTGAGCCCTGAGCCCTGAGCCCTGAGCCCTGAGCCCTGAGCCCTGAGCCCTGAGCCCTGAGCCCTGAGCCCTGAGCCCTGAGCCCTGAGCCCTGAGCCCTGCCAGTCCTGCTGCTGCACAAGTGAGAAGGGCAGGGAATGCAGATGGTAGGAGCGAGCTGGCAGCTGTCATGGCCAAGTGCTGTTCATCACAGGATCCATCCTGCACCCAGTGCTGAGGCTCCAAGGCTGCAGTCATTCTTACAGTTCCCCAGCTCCATGCTGGTGAAGTGTGGCTCCCCAGGCAGTGGGTGAACACCAGTTGGGCATTAATTGCCGTGGAATTAACCTCTGACACTCTTCTAAAAATAGGCCAAATGAATCCAATCACTAGCAGCTCCCGCCTGCGTTGCCTCAAGGCTAAACACTGCAGATGAAAGCGTTTGCAGTAACAGGTCTCTGTGCGTCCCCTGGCTTCTCCTGCCTCTGAGCCCAGAACCCTGGAGATGGTGCCCTGGTCCGTGGGGGAGTGGTGCCAGTGCAGTGGCTTTTCAGCTGATGGAGGGCTGAAAGGCATCACTTTTAGTTCCCTTGGGAGGTGATGGTAGATCCAGCAACGGGCAGAGGAAAGCAGCAGTGTAGATGTGGTCACCTCAGCTGTTCTAGCTGGGGAGCTCAGGGAGAGAGATCAAAGGTATCTTAATTTGTCTGTGCCCTCTCCTCTGAGGGTGAAGGCAAAGCACCACCCCAGGCAGAGGGTGGCACAAGGGCCAGGTGGGAGCAAGATCTGCCCATCAGCCAGGTGCTGAGATCAGATGCCAGGGGCACCATTGGCACCAAGCCCTCCCCGGGTCCCAGGAATTGATGGTGTCACCCCAAGGGCTGTGGGCAACTCCCCAGGGCAGGAGGGGAGCGCGCCGTGCCGCGCCGTGCCGCGCTGTACTGCCCGGCCCTGTGCCCCTGCTGCTCACAGAGGTCCTCGGGCTGCATTTAACACAGTCTCAGTCCCTGGAAATCCCACTGGAACCGGTGCTGGGGCACAGGCCAGGGCAGGGGGGCAGGAGCACCAGGCAGGTCTGGGTTCATGACAGCGTAGTTCCAAAATGCCGAGTCCATTTAGTGTTAGAGGCGATGGAAAACCGTGAATTTATGGAGATGCCCCAGGCACAGAGCAATGACAAGGCATGCAGAGCTGGACAGGGCATGGTGCTTTCCGGACGCCTGTGCAAGTGAGGCTGCAGATACTTAAATTGTCTTTGTCTTCTCTTTACCAGCTGACATCATCTCCACAGTTGAGTTCAACCACACTGGAGAGTTACTGGCAACAGGGGACAAGGGGGGCCGGGTTGTGATATTTCAGCGGGAGCAGGAGGTGAGTGCCAGTGAATGCTAAATGCCCATTTTATCCCTTTAAGGGAAGCCTCCCGCTGTTCCCTAATCCGCCTGTGTCACTCCTAAGCTCGGGGCCCTCCTGGCATACTACGAGCTGAAAAACAGCTATTAACATCAGCAGGGCCAGACTTCCTCCTGCCAAACACCTTCCAAACATCACGTTGCCTGCATTCTTCTGCTCCAGGTGTCACAGGGTTCAGGCAGCGCGTCCGAGAGTGAGATGAGTCTCACTCTCGTCTGGAGATGACACCACCCCAAGAGCCCCTCACACCACCAAAATTCTGGAAAGCATAGATGGGTGCAACAATTATGTTTCCCTTCCAAAGCTTTGCCCAGGAAGTGTTAGCAAATGCTTTGTTGGAAGCTGGAGGTTGTGCCTGCTGGAGAAGCGCGTGTTTGGCCCTCAGCGTGGCCCTGCTCCGGTGGGCACCTGGCCAGCCTGGCTGGGGCAGCTGTGCCAGCTCCTGCTGCCTAGGATGGTCCCCACCATTTCCAAAGCTGTCCCAGTTAGCTGCTCTGGCCTGAGCCAGCGGCGCCTGTCCTCAGCTGTGCAGGAAGGAATACATCAGACCTGGGCATGAGACACGTCATGGTCCAATGATGACTTTAAATTTTTCTCAAAGTTAAAGCTTTAAAATTATGTCTACATATGCTGAAGAGAACTCGGTGGTTAACCGTCACATGTGTAGACACTTCATCAGCCTTTCCAGCACTATTTCATTTCTCCTCTTCCTCTCATTTCTACTGTTTCTACTCATTTCTATTACTCTGCTGCTTTTCTTGAACTTCAGGTCCCCAGCATCACTCTGAACGTGTCCGCTCGGCTCCTGCTCAAGGGGACATGTGGTGGTGGGCTTCACCCACCCAAACCAAGGCTGCCCATCCTGTGCCTGTAGCTGCTGCCAGCAGCTCCTCTGTGCCTGGGTGCAGCCCCCGGCAGGAGCTGGCACTCGTCCCAGCCATTCACTGGGGACAGACAGCGGGGTGGGACCCGTTCCCGCTATGTTCCCTCTCCATTCATTCCATTCCTTCTCAATTCCTGCTCCATTCCCACCGAGCACACCAAGTGTGGTGTCAGCAGAGGCCGTGCCAGGGCACTCAGCCCTGCACTCGCTGTCACCAGCCCCAGAGTGCCCTGAGCAGCCAGCTGCCAGCACCTTCAGCTCCTCCCTGTCCCTCGCAGAGCAAGAACCAGCCCCACCGCAGGGGAGAGTACAATGTCTACAGCACCTTCCAGAGCCACGAGCCAGAGTTCGATTACCTGAAGAGCCTGGAGATCGAGGAGAAGATCAATAAGATCCGATGGCTGCCCCAGCAGAACGCGGCGTATTTCCTGCTCTCCACCAACGGTATGTGGCCAAGCTGCTTCAGGCCCCTGGGCTCCCACCCCAGCCACAGTCTGTGGTGTTTCTTTGGGGAAATACTTTTTTAAATACCCTCCCTGCAGGGTAACACAGGTGTCTTGGGGGGAATGGATCTGGCAGAGCTCAATCCCTGCGCTCCAGCTGTTTTTCATGGCAGCCCCTCCCTCTGAGGGAGAGAGCGAGGCTTCTGCCCTGCTGATGACTTCTAGTTTTTATTCTTGGGATCCTGGGACTTTTTTTTTTTTTTAAAGACAAACTGCAGGTGTTTTGTTTCAATTTGCAGTTGTGTTCAGCTCAGCAGTTCCACGGTATGTTCTGATAAATATCATGAGGATCTAGGAATATTACTTGGGATGAATGGGACCCTAAGATGGATGTGACTTAATTATTTCAGGGGAAAAGGAGGGGTCTGATTATCTTCCATAACCAACTTACTTTGTGTTATGGAATTGACTCCATTGATCATTGTAATAAAATTCAAAGACTTATTAAACTTGTTTGGGGGGGAATCATTGAAATGCAATGAAGATTAATTATACAGCATAATGTTCTGTTAACTGAGTTTTTAAATAGTTCTTTGATTAACAGGACTATCACCCTGCAATTCGGGTGGTGTTCCATATGCAGGCAGGTTATTGAAACCATCGGTTTGGAAATAACTCCTGTGTTATGCTGCTTCATTTCGTTCTTACTGCTACATTAACATTTTGTAGTGAACCCCTCACCCCCCCCAAAACAGAGCACGTTGATAAAACAAAATTAATTGGCACTGCTTTGGAGCTGCTGTGTAAAAGAGAAAATGAAGACGGATGATGGGGTTTTGTATGAAACCTGGCAGAAGTGATGATAAACTACGTACGGAGTGCCTGCCAGGAGGGAGAGGAGAGAGCCCCGCAGTTCAGAATAACCCCGCGTGTTCCTGGTGTTCTTTCTGCGGGGGCTCAGTGGCACTGGGAGGAGAGAGGGAGCTGCAGGGGCTGGGAGCTGCCCGCAGTGAGTGCTGGGTGGGGAACGCCAGCCTGACTCTGGCTGAGCTACAGACACCCTGTCGTGTCCCAGGCACATCATCTGTCAGCGCTTCCAGCACGTGCACTGCGGGCACAGGGGGATTTTCAGGCCGGCGTGGCCGTGGCTCGTCCGTCTCAGGGAGTGGCCGCGGTGATGCTCTCCTCTCTCCTCCCCCAGATAAGACGGTGAAGCTATGGAAGGTCAGCGAGCGGGACAAGAGGCCAGAGGGCTACAACCTCAAGGATGAGGATGGCCGTCTCCGAGACCCCTCCATGATCACCGTGCTGCGGGTGAGTGTGAGGGTCCGTGGCGGTCGAGGAGCCGTTCCCTGCGGGGTTTTGGATGAAAATTGCTGCTGGTGTCGCCTGTGTGCCGTGGGACCTGCAGTGCCATCCTGCCGTGGCTGATGTCGAGGGGCACCCTTGTACTGGAGGCCGGTGCTGTGGCTGGTGCGTGGGGGTGCAGGAGAGAGCTGCCAGGGCTGTGCTGACGCCGGGCAGATGTGCTGCCAGCACTGCCTTGTGTCCCGAGTCTGGTGCTGCCCCACGGGCTGGGCCCATCCCAGTGGCGATCACAGGGCAGCAGCTCTCCCAGCTTGGAGCACTCCCAAATGTAGCTGCTGCTGCTGTAGGAGCAGAAGTACTTTCTCCAAATGAGTTTTCCTCCTGCTCCTTACATTAATCGGACCAGACCAGCTTGCAATTTATTAACGCCCTGTCAGAATTCTGAATACCTGTGGGTTTTATATTTATACGTATAAACTTGTTACTGTGACTGTGTTTGCCTCGCCTCGTGGGTCCCAGTTCCGTTGTGCACGAAGCCATTGAGAACCCTGGGCAGGCAGCTAATTCTTGTCTCTGTACAGGGTTGCTCCTGGTGACTGGCAGTGTTTTTGTTCACAGAGCAAGAGAGCATTTATTTCATGTAGATGTGTATCTGCTGTTGTGTCCCAGGCAGCATTTCCAGCCTAACGTGCTGACAGCACGTTGGAGAGGTTTGCTTGGCGTCGGGCTGCTGGAGCTGGGGCTGTCAGCCCTCGGCAGGTTGGGAGGCAGGATGTGGAAAGGCAGCAGTGTTAAGGGTGTTATATCCCAGGTGGTGCTTCCTTCTCTGGTCAAACAGCCTGGGAAGGCCCTGGGATTTCCTTCTCCCCTGTAGAAAGTCACACTGAAGTATCAGAGAACCGAACAGGGCTGGAGTTCGCTTAACTTGCCTTGAAGGCTTCAGCCTTCGTTTGACTCTCAGCCCATGCACACCTGCTGCACGGCTCAGTGCCTGGAGGAGCCGTTTGGTGTCTGCTGCTGCCATTCCTGCTCCTGGCGGGCGGCGCAGGGCACTGGGAGGTCAAACACGTCTCAAGTGCTCGGTGTGACGCTTATTGGTACCTGCTGTGCAGTGCCGCTGGTCCCTGGGGACAGAAGATGGAGGGGTCTTCCACCAGCCCCGTTTGATCTAATGCTTTGATGATTCCACTTGGGAAGATACGACGTACACAGCTGCAGCTTGGTGTACATCTGACGTGCAATTGTCCCGTGATGGGCGTGCTTTAAATTAAAGCCACATTCATCCACGGTTTAATTTTCAACCGCAGACAAGTGAAAAAGGGTTTTAAATTCACCTTGCTGCCAAGATTTCTCACCCATTTGGTTTAATGGTTTAAATGCACTTGATAAGCATCATTCTCTGAGGAATTTCTAAGCCACATAGTGCAAAAGGGCTATTTAACTCCGCTCAGGCCGTGTAGCGAGGTGCGTACTGTCATTAGAAGAGCTCTGTTGATTTGGATCACCCCCAGTCTAACAGCTGCAGCCTTTCGACCTCGTGTCATTGCCTCACTCAGTGTGCTCCCGAGTGCCACTCGCTGTACCCGTGCCTTGGGACGTATGCAGGAGATAATTAACTCAAGTGATATCCAGGGCATAAACCTTTCCAAAGAGAGGATGTGTCTGCTTTGGTCCCTCACAGTCAGGGCAGTCTGGGGTGACACCCCAAGTGCCACTGCTGGGACGGTGCCACAGGGCCGCTGTGTGCCTGTGTCTTCGTGTTCGTGGCTGCCACGGAGCCCTCTCGTAAGAGCTGCCACTTGGCCCTCTCAGTTCCAGAAAATTCCATCACAAATCCTGGTTTGCGTCTCCCATTTGGCCGACACACTCAGATTTCCTGGCCCCCTGTGCACAGTTTTGCAGGGAGGCTGTGCTGTGCCCCCTCCGTCAGATTCCCCTGACAGCAGTCCCATAGTGCCTGTGACGGGAGATGCCTTGGAGGAGGTCTGCTGGGTCTGCCGCCTTTCTGCCTCAGCAAAGAGATTTGCCTCTTTGCCTTGTGCACATTCTGCAGAGCATTTCAGCGACAAGGCAGGACAAGAGACGGAAGCAGCAGCTCCATCAGCTGTGTGGACAAGCAGTGAGGCAGCAGCAGCTTTGTCCTCCTGCAGGAAGGTCCCCTCTGAATGTCACAGGGCAGGTCAAATGTGACAAAGCTGTGAGCAGTGCGAAGTTGTCAGTCCGCCAGGAAAATAGTGTTTGATGCTCATTTTGTCTGCAAAATGCTGAGCTTGAGGTGGCACTGGGCAGTCACAGAGTGTAACTTCTGCAGGTAGGGAATGAATGCTGGGGAACCTTCCATGCCTGGAAAAGCTCAGCTACTGGGGGAGCTCAGCCACTGGGGCAGGCGGAAAACTCACTGGATTTATCCCTGAGCACTCGCTCTGCTCCCTGATTTGCCAGGGACCGGATTACGGTTTCCGTCTTGGAGACCCAGGGCTGGGGTCAATCCGAGCTTCAGCTCGACTAATCCCACTGGAGCGGATGCTGTGGAGCACGCTGAGCTCTGGCCACGCTGCTCTGGGGCTGGGGCTGCTCGGTGCCCGCTGTGCTGGCCTGGCACTGCTGCTGGGCAGCTGTCACAGGGGAAATGTGTGCCCTGCTGCAGGTGCAGGAGCGAGAAAAGCTCTCCCCGTCTGCCGGTTGAGACCAGTTCACTGCTCAAGGTGAGCACACTGGCGCCCATCAGCAGGTGGCAGGGGAAGCTGCCTGGGCCGGTTCTGCCACACCTGTCGGGTAGCCACAGGGCTGTGGCTGCAGCTGCTCACCCTGGCAAGGTGGGGATTGGGTTGGGTAGACACCTAATGAATTATTTATTGGGATTTTTTTATGGTCACTGCTCTGGCTCAGGTTGGGATTTCAGTGTAAGTCCAGTGCAGTCCCTTGTGCCCAGAGGGTTTCCGTGGAGGTAACTGGCAGCAAAAATCTTCCTGTCCACTGCACAGAAATGTGTGAGTGGTCCCGGTGCAGCCAGCTCTGCCACATTCACACCCTTTGGGAATTTCTGGCCCCTGCTGCGTCCCGTGAGGATTCCCAGCACTGCTTTCACGTTGGGCGCAGGTGGTTGTGTCCCATCCCACTGCAGGGCTGTATGGGAGTTCCACGGCCCCACCTGACCCCCAGGAAGGGGCAACCCAAACCTGACACGGGTGGGCCTTGGGCTTTGGGGGTTCGTGACTCTGCCGTCCCAGGAGCCGAGTCCTTGGTCCTTTCCCCCATATACTGACCTGTGTTTTGCTAACGCTGCTGCCATGTGGCACTTCTGGGCAGAGGATGAGGCGTTCCTGAGAAACGCTGAATCTCTGGGATTCCACTGCCCACGTCCATCGTGCATGTCCATGGATGACACGGAGGGCTCGGCCGCACAGAGCTCTTCTGCAGGGAGCACTTGGTGACAATCAGAGTGACAGACCATGAGAGGGGAAGCCTGATGGGGACCGGGGCAGCTGCTGACACCACGTCCCCTGTGCCGTGGCCCTTCTCTCGGGACTGCAGGTGGCAGGAGGATGCACAGTGGCAGTGGTGGGAAGCTGGCAGGGACGTGCCAGCTCTCTCCACCCCAACCATCAGGAAAATGAATTTCACAGCTCAAGAAAGGATTAGTGTCTCATTAACCCAGGACAGGGGAAGCCTCCAGCAGACACAGGGAGAAGAATCAAGTGTCATGCGTGCTCAGAGTGAGTGGAATGTCTTCTGCAGGGCGTACTTGCTAAAAGCAGGGATCAAAATTAATACTCGCTTTGTTTTAAATTAAAAGTGACTGGCATTGCCCCCCCTTCCTGAAAACAAAGTAATTGAATTTATTAGTGTTTTATTTTCGTTGACAATCTTTGTGTGTACTTGATGTGCTTTGTTACACCGAATTACCATTTAATAATGAGTGTGTGTGACACCAGAGCCTGCCCTGAGGCGGGCTCTGGAGCCGGAGCTCTGGAGCTGGAGCAGGTATGCACAAGGAGGTCTCTGCTGTTCAGGATTGTTGTGGCACTGCTGATTGATCTTGGTGGGCTGGGCAGAAGCTGACTTGGCCTGTGCCTGCTTCAAAAAAAAACACAAGAAGCGGTTCCAGTTGCTGTCACGTTGCCCCCTTTGTTAGTCTCCACTTGGGCTGAGACCGGGCTGGGCTGTCCCGAGCCAGGGTCCCCTGTGCTGCTGTTGGGGAATGAGCTCACTGCCTGCTCCCAGCAAATTCCTCACTGCTCCTGCCTCAAAGTTTCAGTGCTTCCAGAGTTAAATCCTCATCGCTGATACCCTTAAGCAGGAGCTTGCAGCATGTGGGCATGCCGGTTTCCATACTTCAGTGCAGATTCTTGCCACTGTAGCAGACAGAAATCCCTGCTCTAGCAAACCACTCACGGATAGCGAGGATTGTCCCTCTTGTGGGGTTTTACCTGGACGGGCCAAGTCCCAGACCTTAAAAAAAGTCTCCCCAGGATTTGGCTCTGAAGTAATGTGAGGAGAACGTTCTTGGCTTAAAGAGTTTGTGGTAGCTCTGTGGTTGTGAGTGACTGCCATGTAGGAATGAGTAGGGAATGGTGCTGGGGCACCGGGAGCTGCGGGCGGCGTCAGCCCGGGCTGGGGACAGGAACTCGCCCAGGGTCTGACTGCGAGCCGTGCTGGGCCAGGCTCACCTCACTGAGCACAGTCCGCTGCCCAAGCCCTTGCTGTGCTTGTTTTCGTGCCCAGCCAGGCCCAGGTCCAGGCCCCTGGACCCTCTCTCTCTTTGCACAGCCCCGTGCTCTGCGCTGACAGCCGGTCCCTGTGGTCCCTGGGCGAGGCGCTGGCCCCAGCCCCGGCTGCCTGAGCAGGATCCCTCAGTGCAGGCCGTGCATCACCGGCCGTGCCAGGTGCAATTAGCGTGCAGGCTCATCACATTAGGCTCAGGCTCTGAGCTGGCAGCACCAGTGCTCTCGTGTCTCTCCAGCTGGCTGTCACTCCCATCCCCGCCTCTGCCACCAAGGGAAATCTCTTCAGGCAGCACACAGATAATACAGGTAATGAAGAAGCTGGAGGAAGCAGCTCACTGGCAAGCAGGAGCATGGGCTGACACATTCCTGGTATACTGAGTTGCCTTCAGAGCACTGTGTCCGAAGTTATTACTGGCCCCACTCCTCACACGCATGGTCCCCTCTGCAATCTCCCCACTCCCCGAGGGGTTGTGCTGATTTATCGAAAGGCAAAGACCCACAGCTCTGTTCCTGGTCCTTTCCTCTGTCCCTGTCTGTCTTTCCTTTGCTCTGTTCCTTCTCATCTCTCATCTCCACCACTTCACTGTGAGACAAATGCAAAAAAAGTTTAAAGAAAAATCGTGCTGGCCTGGCTCTCTCGAGAAACATATTTCTGTCAGAAATGCTCCAGGAATTTCAGATCCCAGCTAACAGTGACAAAATGAGGTGGAAGAGGTTCTCTGGTTGTTTTTTTTCGTTTCAAGGCTGGAACAGTTGCCGCAGCAAGATCAGAGCCTGGTTTACCGGGCTCTCACTGCTTCACTGCGCTCCAACCATCCTGGAGCCTCTCTCTAAATTAGATGGCTTTTGCCATACGCTTGGGAAGGCATTAGGTGTGCCTGGAGAGAGCCTGTTAGGAGCGGGTGGGTAAAAGCAGCCAGAGCTCTGTGGGACCCCGTGGGGGCACCCCCCGTGTCGGGCGCTGCCGTGGGCCGGGCCCGCCGGACCCTGTCCCTGGGTGCTGACGCTCTGCTCCCCTCCCTGCAGGTCCCCGTGCTTCGGCCCATGGACCTGATGGTGGAGGCCACTCCTCGGAGGGTGTTCGCCAACGCGCACACCTACCACATCAACTCCATCTCCGTCAACAGCGACTACGAGACCTACATGTCAGCCGATGACCTGAGGATAAACCTGTGGAATTTCGAAATCACAAATCAAAGTTTTAGTATCCTTTGGGGGGTGTGTGTGTGTGTGTGTGTGTCTCGGGGGACGGTCCTGGGTCTCGGTGAGGCGCAGCCCCAGGGGACATGAGCGGGCAGTGCAGCAGCTGACGGCCCCACACCCGGCTGTGGTGCTGCCTGTGTGCACCTGGCTGCAGAGCACCGAGGGTCCCAGCCCGTGTGTCCTTCTCCAGGCACTGCCCTCTCATCTCTGCTGTGCCGCCGGGGCACGCCAGGCCGTGCCCGGCACCCACCTGGAGCCGCTCCCTCCACGGCGCAGCTGCCATTGCCACCACTGCTGCTGTCACCCCACGTGTGGGTGACACACGTCTGAATTTGCCCGCGGGGTCTGGTGGGGCAGGCAGTGGAGGAGACAGATGCCTTGGGGAAGATGGAAGCGCTAGCGGTGCGTCCCCGTTACACCCTGCAGCGGGTGACAGGCTGCCAGTCACCGCTCTACAAATGAGGTGGTGACAGGCACACTCCTAACGGGCACGTCAGAAATGATAACCAGGGCACGAATCATTGATGGTATTTATATGGTGTTTCCTGCTGAGAAATCCCTGGGGCATGACTTGGGCAGATGGAGAGGGTTTTCGGCAGACACAGGCATGTGGCTATGGGAGCTCTGAGTGGCTGCAGGAGAGCAGGGCTGTGGAACCTGCTGATTTGCAAGGATGAGGGTGGGGAGTACTAAATCTGTGTCAAACCTCGGGGAGTTCACATGGCCCAAGGGACTTAGACAGGGGTTTTCTGCTGGTTGCTGTGCCCTGGGCTTTGCCGCCACTGCACTTTTCGGTATGGTTACTCACCGTGTACTCACAGTGCTGCACTAAAAGACATTTACTGTGGGCCGGGGTAGGTGGGCAGACGAGGTCTCGTGCCCCACAGAGGGTGGTACCAGAGCTGGGGGTCCCAGCTTAGCAGAAGACATGCTGGGTCTGGGCCTTCCCCCTGCCGGAGCGGGCTGGGCCGTGCTGCGGTTCTGCCCGAGGTGCGATGGAACACGCGGCCGGCAGGGCTGAGGGGCAGCGCCGGTGCCCAGAGCCGTCAGTCCGGGCTGGCTCCTTGACTTCCCTCGCCAGACATCGTGGACATCAAGCCGGCCAACATGGAGGAGCTGACGGAGGTGATCACGGCGGCCGAGTTCCACCCGCACCACTGCAACACCTTCGTGTACAGCAGCAGCAAGGGCACCATCCGCCTGTGCGACATGCGAGCCGCTGCCCTCTGCGACCGCCACGCCAAGTGTGAGTGCGGCACCGCGGCCCTGGCCTGGCACAGGGCGAGAACGCCAGTGGAGACCCAGCTGGGCTCGGGTCTGCCCTAGAGCCTCCTTCCCTTCTCCCCACGGCTGCCATCCCCACAGGATCAGCCAGGGCCATCTCGGGGTTCAGCTGCTCCCGTGGAGAGGGAGCTGGTTCGGCTGCTGCGGGAGGAGGGAGCTGCTGCAGGCAGGGCAGCACCCGCCCAGTGCCACAGAAAGTAGGTTTGTTGTGTAAGAGAGAATTAGTGCTCGGAAATCCTTTCCATGAGCTCAGCAGCCCAGATCTGCTTCTGCAGCAGGAGCAAAGCCACACAGAAGCCTTCAGCCCAAAGCAAAAATAGCTACTCCGAGCCCCTGTCCTGCCCGGACGCTGGCTTTGGTTCACAGACCCACTCAGGGACTGGGCAGCACCAGCTGTGTGCTGGGACCCCCGTGCTGGCATCTCCTCTGTATGTGTGTGCTGGCATCTCCTCTGTGTGTGAGTGTGTGCTGGCATCTCCTCTGTGTGTGAGTGTGTGCTGGCATCTCCTCTGTGTGTGTGAGTGTGTGCTGGCATCTCCTCTGTGTGTGAGTGTGTGCTGGGAGCCCGGCCCTGCTGTGGGCTGGGACCCCCTGCAGCAGAGCCCCCACAGCAGGGCAGGTGGCCATGGCCCTCCTGCCCATTCCCACAGTGCTCACAGGGATTCCAGTGCCTCGTGACTGACCTGCTGTGAGCAA